GATGAATGCGCCCAGTGAACGAACTCAGTCACAGCAATCACATATGTGCACACATACGTCCGTGAAGGAGCTAAGTCTGTGAGTTAAAGGGTCGTCGGTTAACTGAATGTTTGACGTAACAACTCCGATTAAGTAGAGTACATTTATAATAATAATAATAGATCATGCTGAATCTCATGCTCAAAGCACATTGTTGGCCCGGTCATTCTCATCTCCAAGGGGAGTAGATATACGACCTAAGCTGCCTGTGATGTGCTAGACGTTATTCAATTATTTCAGTTATTTCACGGCGTGTCAACTTGTTGCGGAAGGAAATCCCTAAGCGACGTATGTGTATGGTGCTGGGATTCAAAAACGACAGAGCCAACGGTGTGTCACTTTGAAAAAATGTCGGAGACCTGAATTAAATTAAATAGAAATGCAAAGTGTTTGTTTATTGCTGTGAAAAACGTTTGTTTTATTAAACCCCACACCGACAATAACGATATATGAACTAATTCTTAAAGTAACGATGAACGATTTGCTTTCATTTTGAGAAAAGCAAACCACATTGCCTTTGCTGCTTTGGTTTTATAACCATTGGAACTACCAAAAGACCAGTGAAGATTGAAAAGGAGTATAACCATTTCGGCGCATGCGTAAATTAATTCATTTACTACACATGCGCACCATTAATCGAAAAGAGCGACAACGCGACAACGCGACATTTTAACGCCTTTTTACACATGTTTGATTGGGCGACAGTGCGACATATTTGACCTTGAAAAATGTCGCGTTGTCGCTTTGTAGCGCTTTGTAAAAATAAAAAATATTACTCAAAGCGCGACAATGCGACAAATGGCAAAAATGTCGCATTGTCCAATGTCGCAATGTCGCGCTTTGGCTAATTTTGACACTTTTTGCTTGTTTTTGGAAGGGCGACAATACGACAACGCGACAATGTCCCTTGTAGTATTCCACACAAAACCAGTCCCTCAGCTGGTGTCAAACCTACATTTGTCACAATATCTTTTGATTATTTCATTATATATGTATAAATATATTTCAATTAGTCATTTCATAAACCTGTTGTATTCTTTTTTATATATTTATTATATAGAATTCAGTCTGTTTGGCTTTATTAAAGTGTCTATATTTTTCTATTTGGTAATAATATTTAACCTCATTTTGGAAATGTGTAATGGTTGGTTGGTTATTTTTCATTTTGCATCTATAAATGTGAAATTTGGCCAATAAGAGTATCAGATAAAAAATATTATCGGTGTGGAAATGTTTTGAAAAGCCAAAAAGAATTAGATCTGAAGTAAGATCCATATCTTGCCAGTATGTGGACACTTGGATTCAATCCATTGTGAAAATCTTTTCCAGAATTTTGTGCTTACCCTACAGTCCCAAAACAGATGTTGGATAGATTCTGGCAGAAAGTACATAGACAGTTGTTAACAATATGCATCTTGAGTAGATAAGTATTAACAGGTAGAATTCTATGGAGCAATCTAAGCTGAAACCATCTAAGTTTAGGGTCTGGAGTAGTTTTGTGTGCTCTGATAAATAAGCTAGGCCAGTTCATATCCATTAAAAGTTCCTCTTCCCACTTGTCAATAACTTTTAAGCTTTCATCGGTTTGACTTATTACATAGTAATATTTCTTTGAGCCTTTTTTACATGAAAAGAGATTGGCAATAGATATATTTGTATTGTTTGTTGTTTCCAGTTGCAGGTCTTTATTAATGCCTAATTGTATCATGTATGTATTTACTGATCTTGTAATACCATAAAATTCAAGAAAATTATATTGAAGTATTTATTACAGAATTGTTGCAATGTCATAAAATTTCCATCATTGTTTAGCAAGCAATGTATGCTGTGTATGTTAATGAGATGAAAGGTTTTGTTATCTAATGATTTGCCATTTATAATAATATTTTTATTGTATAGCAGAGGTTCCCTTAGGAACATTTAGTAACTTTTTTATCCAGATTATTTTCAAAGCGTCAACATATGCAAAAATATCTACCATACCAAGTCCTCCAAGGGAAATAGGTTTACAAGCAACTGTTCTCTTTATTTTGTCTGGTTTATTATCCCATAAAAACTTGAAAAGAATAGTATTTATCTTTCTAAGGAATTCATCTGGGGGACTAGGAAGGGTAAGGAAAAGGAAATTAAGTTTTGAAATGAGCATTGATTTGATAATTGCAATTTTGCCATCTGTTGATGGTTTGTTCAATTTCAAAGATTTTGCTTTCAAAGTTAAGTTTAATCATTTTATCTCGATTAGTAGAAAAAATTATGCCTAGAATTCTAAAGGTTTCAGGGTTCCATTCAAGGTTTAAGTCTTGTCTAAATTTGATATTACTATTCTTCTTGGAGCCTATCCAGATTATTTGAGTTTTATCAAAATTTATTCTTAATCCGGAGATATTTGCAAAGATATCAAGAGTGTCTATGGTAGCCTCGAAGGATCTCTTAGAACCGTCCAAAAGAAACCTGTTGCATTCTTAATGTATCATGTGCATAATTGTACTGCTAGTGGTCTTTAATATCCATTATATTAATCATAAAGCATTGCATCGTCCTAAGGTACAGCCAATGGTATTCTTGGGGTGGATGAGGTACGTGTGGGTTGGGTGATGGGTGGGAACCTGCATTTTGTATGGAGACTAAATATTCTTTCAGCTACAGCTGCAAAACCAGGACCCTAAATAAAGAAACAATTTTGCAACAATGTATTTTGTGGCAGACAATATCTTTTTTTCTAATTATTATTGTTTTCAAGCGTGTTCTGTGACAATTAGTTTCTTTTCAATAAACTCCCTGTGTCAAGTGGTCAATTGGAACCCCAGTGCAGGAAGCAGCCCAAACTGTGCGTCGGACACCATAAGTCAACTCCCACTCGTCGTTCAACAAACAGTTTATTAAAAAAGAAAATAACAATATTGCACACGTCCCTTTCTACAGGTCTGCTAGTCCGATACTTGTACAAGGGCAAGAAAACAGAAAACAAATGATTGCGATTTTGTTGCGAATATCAATTTTCCTAGATATACATGCAGTCCATTTCCCAGAGAGAGCATTTCATAATATTCATAGAAAGAATTGAAGTCCATGTGAAAGTGCTGAAATCAGATGCTCCGGAATTGGCCTCCAAGACAAACTAGAAGCTATACACATACTAGTCTTTGAAACTAAGGCATTTAGAAGTGATACATGTAAGGCAGAGAATGTATGGAGGTCAACTCCATACTCTTTCTGATAGTTCTGTTTATCCTTCAAACAAAACATTGAATACATTGCTGAATGTGTGAAACGTCCCCTTTCATCTTGACATTGTGAATAATGACAATAAGAACTAACAATCTGTAACAAACACTGAATTGCTAACAACCGGCTTGGGGGTTCATTCGCAGGACGGTGACCAACTTATTTTTCACTAATCCTCTTCTAGGACGCGAAATCAATCATATAGGTGTCTTCCTCAATCCAGATTGAGGGGGGTCGTCTCCAAAGCAAAGAGTAGAAATGTGTTACACAGCCGACATGAGCGTAAAAACTGATGTACATCACGGTTCCGTTTCCTACTGTTTCTATTACTATCCTCAACAACAAAAGTTCCTGTGACACCAATATTTTAGTGTATTTTTCAAACAAGTAAAGTTTGGTTTTCAATAGTGTAGTACATGTGTGGAATCAAGTCACAAAAACGCAACTGCTACAGAAAAGCATGCATTCCATGCAAACATTGACTTTTATGCAAGCCCCATGCATTTCACTACCCAAAAGTGGGTTTAAAAACATGTGCGTTAACGGGATTCCATATGCATTGTTTAGCATCGTGCTGACAACAACCACTCAGAAAAACAACAAAATTACGCAATTATTCAACATTAGGAAATGCCACGCCTGTCCGAAAATGAGCGTCTGCGAGCCATTGGTATGCTTGAAGCAGGATCGAGTCAACGTGATGTTGCAAGACAATTTAACGTCCACAGAAACACCATTTGGTGTTTATGGCAACGTTGGCAACAGACGAATGCAGTCAGAGACCATCCTCGGAGTGGCAGGCCACCCGTAACCAATACTCTACAAGACAACTGGATTCGAACAACACACCTACACACCAGCAACAGTGACTGCAAGAAGCATCCCTGGCCTTCGACGATTATCTTCACAAACCGTACGTCGTCGCCTCAGATGTGCAGGGATTGTCGCCAGATGACCCACCAGACGTCCCATTTTGACAGGAAAACACCGTCAAGCACGTCTACAGTGGTCTACTAGCGTCTACGCTGGACGGCCATGCAGTGGGGACAAGTTCTATTCACTGACGAGTCTCGTTTTCACCTCAGCCACAGCGATGGACGGATTCGAGTGTACCGATGTCGAGGTGAACGTTACGTCAATCATTGTGTCATGGAAGAAGATCGGTTCGGGGGCGGCAGCGTTATGCTATGGGGTGGGATCACAGAAAGACAGAGGATCCGTTTGATAGTGGTGGAGGGAAATCTCAATGGACAGCGCTATCGCGACGAGATCATCGGCCCTGTTGTTCTACCGTTTTTGTGTCGTCATGGCCCAGGCATTACCTTTCAATCTGACAACGCCCGGCCTCATATTGCTCGACTTGTTCAGGTTTCTCTTCAACAAAACAACGTGAATGTCATCCCCTGGCCGGCTCTATCCCCCTGATCTCTCACCAATCGAGCACATGTGGGATGAAATGGATCGGCGCCTTCGACGTCAACCACGTGTTCCACAGACACTCCAGGAACTTCGAAACATGCTCATGCAGATATGGACAGATATCCCACAGGAATTTGTGCGACGCCTGGTCCATTCCATGAGATGGACACACACGCTATTGATTTGTAAATTGACATTTTGGCATGTTCATGTTTTGTATGAAATCACGCATTTTCTGAAGTCAGTATGGCAAATTAAACCATTTGAACACTTACAGGAGTCTTTTATCTGTTGCAAACCGAAATTGTTTCAGATTTGGTAAAAAACATAACTTTGCATTAAATCTTATTCAATGTCACAGGAACTTTTGTTGTTCAGTATATATCCAAAATGGCAAGGAGTATATATTTTGAATGTTGTATACTTGATCAAACAATTTTTATAGCAAGAGTCGCATGATGATCTTTAGAATCTTCCCAGATAGAGCATGCTCGATTAAACCTAAAACATGGTAAAATGTAAACACCAAATGTCGGAGCTACTGTAATATTGGTCGACATAAAGGGAAAGTTGGCATCCTTTTGTATGGTATCATTATGGTATTGTGGAGAGTTGATTGAGTGTGCAATAGCATTAAAAACGTATTTCAATCATTAGAACTCCTCCTTAGGTATTCCGAGCTGATATTTTTTTCATTCGTGTCCAACGCCCGCCAATGACATCATCATTATTTGTGTTGACAAAGGAGAGAATATCGAAGTAGATTCACTCTTGGAAATCTAGCAGGTTTACAAATACAAATACCTTTCATAAATCTCATAAAAGCGGATAAACGTGAAATCTTGATTTTTTTTATTTCGAACATCTTTTTCAATCAGTGTTATATTGGATGTGACCTAAAACCTTCAGAATACAACTAATGCTGTCTGTATTATCGTGTTCTGGATGGTATTGCGTAAACTGACGTGACAAGTTGAAGTTCGATCAATACACACTAGTAGTAGTTGTAGTTGTATTATTCGCGTGAATTATTTTGGTCAACAGATCGACGTCCTGCGAATGCCCCGTTTGGATGCAGAAGACGGTGCTTCTTGCTTCTCCAACACCTGGCCAAGGGATAGTGCCCATCGGTTTTGTTTAAGCTTACGCTCATATCAAACACTGTCGGGGACCGGCGGATGCTTGTAGCACATACATAACAATTTGCAACAGAAAAATACACAATACACATACGTTTTCCTTCCACATCTGAAAATGACATATTTCATAGTACATCTAAAAGTGAAACAGCATTGTGATAATCGTTCACTGGTTTCTGGTTGGCGAGAGGTTGTCTCTTCTACCTCTCAAGGACATTGGCTAGTTGACGAAACTTCTTCTTACTGGGTGACACTTAACTACAGGGATTGTGATCTAAGTATTGTTTGGATCAACCTGAAGTATCTCAATGCATTTGTAAGATCTAGATGCCAGTCCTCGAGATGATTTGTTGGCGTCCACCCACTGCTAAGAGACATTATTATAGTGTTTCGTGACAAAGTCGTCTTCGGTGCTAATTGTGGTTGGGTATCTTCGGTCATTTCTTCAATGGATTTATAACGAAAGCTATAAACAACTGGTTGGGAAAGCTTCGTTGAAGTCGCTGGTGGTATTGGTAACGTCGTTGCATCAGCTATCACAGTTTAAGTCTAAGTCACTCTGACTCGTGCCAGGCATCCTACACTCTAACATGCAGAAAAGACCCAAGATAAGTATCAAGTTGTCTGGCTCTATCTCAACTAGTGTAGAGATAGAAGAGATACCAGATAAGTATCAAGTTGTCTGGCTCTATCTCAACTAGTGTAGAGATAGAAGAGGCACAAGATAAGTATCAAGTTGTCTGGCTCTATCTCGACTAGTGTAGAGATAGAAGAGGCACAAGATAAGTATCAAGTTGTCTGGCTCTATCTCAACTAGTGTAGAGATAGAAGAGGCACAAGATAAGTATCAAGTTGTCTGGCTCTATCTCAACTAATGTAGAGATAGAAGAGATACCAGATAAGTATCAAGTTGTCTGGCTCTATCTCAACTAGTGTAGAGATAGAAGAGACACTAGATAAGTATCAAGTTTTCCGGCTCTTCGGTCATTTCTTCAATGGATTTATAACGAAAGCTATAAACAACTGGTTGGGAAAGTTTCGTTGAAGTCGCTGGTGGTATTGGTAACGTCGTTGCATCAGCTATCACAGTTTAAGTCTAAGTCACTCTGACTCGTGCCAGGCATCCTACACTCTAACATGCAGAAAAGACCCAAGATAAGTATCAAGTTGTCTGGCTCTATCTCAACTAGTGTAGAGATAGAAGAGGCACAAGATAAGTATCAAGTTGTCTGGCTCTATCTCAACTAGTGTAGAGATAGAAGAGGCACAAGATAAGTATCAAGTTTTCCGGCTCTACCTCAACTAATGTAAAGTTAGAAGAGACACCAGATAAGTATCAAGTTTTCCGGCTCTATCTCAACTAGTGTCGAGATAGAAGAGATACCAGGTAACTATCAAGTTTTCCGGCTCTATCTCAACTAGTGTAGAGATAGAAGAGACACCAGATAAGTATTAGGTTGTCTGGCTGGATCTCAACTAATGTAGAGATAGAAGATATACCAGGTAAGTATCAAGTTAAACACTCATGTGCTGTCTTGCTCTACACAGTAATGCTGATGGGGGGGGGGGGGGGGGGTCCACGATAAACACTGATGCGCTGTCTTGCTCTACCCAAGTATTGCTGGTGTAGGGGGGACCCCACGTCAGGCGCTGATCCGCTGTCTTGCTTCTTGAATCACTTTGGATCACTATGAATCACACTATTACGTAAACATTTCCATTTGTCCCAGGTGTCAACTGATGACGTCACTAAGCTTTATCCGAGAGTCAACTGATGACGCCACTAAGCTACATCTGGGAGTCAACTGAGTCGCGTGTTCTGTGTATGCGCGTTGTTGGTGCCGCTGTTGCTAGTGTTTCACAAATGGCAGTTGCTGATAATAATAAGAATCAAATGGAAGATCAGATAGACTTTTGTTGTGTATCCACTGTTCCAGGCACATGAGGGCTACTGAACTGCCAGGGACCAAGAACTTGTTGGCAAACAGCGCCCGTTTAGTTGCAAGAAAAGACAGATCTCCTTCTGTGAAGACACACACGCCTCGAAGACGGCGCCCAGCACAGTGCTCCGGTGCCCAAGATGCGTACGTCGCTAACCAGTCCTTGCCGTCAGGCTTGCCTACAACACAGAGTCATCAACAACTGTTAACATGTCAGGTGAAGATCGTCCAAGCAATTTGACATGTAATAACTTTATTGTATTGTGATAGATTACTTTGAGAAGTTCGTTACACATAAATATATAGCGTGTGAGTAATAGATTACATGACAATGGAGTAAAAATAAACATATGTTCGTAACTATCCCAGCAATAATGTAATACCGCGAAGTCTTCAGGTTAGGCATGGGTAATGTAATACAGTGAAGAATGTATGCGACCTGGGTAGTACCGTATTTTAGTGAAGACTGTAGCTTACATGGGTCGCAATGTAATACAGTAAAGACTCTAGCTTACATGGGTTGCAATGTAATACAGTAAAGACTGTAGCTTACATGGGTCGTAATGTAATACGGTTAAGAATGTAGCTTACGTGGGTCGTAATGTAATACAGTAAAGGCTGTAGCTTACATGCGTCGTAACGTAATACAGTAAAGACTGTAGGTTACGTGGGTCGCAATGTAATACAGTAAAGACTGTAGCTTACGTGGGTCTTAAAGTAATACAGTAAAGACTGTAGCTTACGAGGGTCGTAATGTAATACAGTAAAGACTGTAGCTTACGTGGGTCGTAATGTAATACAGTAAAGACTGTAGCTTACATGGGTCGTAATGTAATACAGTAAAGAATGTAACTTACATGGGTCGTAATGTAATACAGTAAAGACTGTAGCTTACATTGGTCGTAATGTAATACAGTAAAGACTGTAGCTTACATGGGTCGTAATGTAATACAGTAAAGACTGTAGCTTACTTGGGTCGTAATGTAATACGGTTAAGAATGTAGCTTACGTGGGTCGTAATGTAATACAGTAAAGAATGTAGCTTACATGGGTCGTAATGTAATACGGTTAAGAATGTAGCTTACGTGGGTCGTAATGTAATACAGTAAAGACTGTAGCTTACATGGGTCGTAATGTAATACGGTTAAGAATGTTGCTTACATGGGTCGTAATGTAATACAGTAAAGACTGTAGCTTACATGGGTCGTAATGTAATACAGTAAAGACTGTAGCTTACATGGGTCGCAATGTAATACAGTAAAGAATGTAGCTTACGTGGGTCGTAATGTAATACGGTAAAGAATGTGGCTTGCATGGGTCGTTATGTAATACAGTAAAAACTGTTGCTTACATGGGTCTTAATGTAATACAGTAAAGACTGTAGCTTACATGGGTCGTAATGTAATACAGTAATGAATGTAGCTTACATGGGTCGTAATGTAATACAGTAAAGATTGTAGCTTACATGCGTCGTAATGTAATACAGTAAAGATTGTAGCTTACATGCGTCGTAATGTAATACAGTAAAGACTGTAGCTTACGTGGGTCGTAATGTAATACAGTAAAGACTGTAGCTTACATGGATCGTAATGTAATACGGTAAATAATTTAGCTTACATGGGCCGTAATGTAATACAGTAAAGACTGTAGCTTACATGGGTCGCAATGTAATACAGTAAAGACTGTAGCTTACGTGGGTCGTAATGTAATACAGTAAAGACTGTAGCTTACATGGATCGTAATGTAATACGGTAAATAATTTAGCTTACATGGGTCGTAATGTAATACAGTAAAGACTGTAGCTTACGAGGGTCGTAATGTAATACAGTAAAGACTGTAGCTTACATGGATCGTAATGTAATACGGTAAATAATGTAGCTTACATTGGTCGTAATGTAATACAGTAAAGACTGTAGCTTACATGGGTCGTAATGTAATACAGTAAAGACTGTAGCTTACATGGGTCGTAATGTAATACAGTAAAGAATGTAGCTTACGTGGGTCGTAATGTAATACGGTAAAGAATGTAGCTTACATGGGTCGTTATGTAATACAGTAAAGACTGTAGCTTACATGGTAAGTAATGTAATATAGAGATGACTTTTAGCCCATTCAGGTAGTACTGTAATATGGTGAATACTGTAGCCTACCTTGGTAGTAATATTATACACAGTAGACCTCTAGCCTATCCGGATAGAAACGTAATACATTTTAGATTTTTAGCCTATCCAGGTAGTAATGTAATACACGGTAGACTTCTAAATTATCCGGGTAGTAATGTAATACACTGTAGACGTCTAGCCTATCCGGGTAGTAATGTAATACACTGTAGACTTCTATCCTATCTGGATAGTAATGTAATACACTGTAGACTTCTATCCTATCTGGATAGTAATGTAACACACTGTAAACTTCCAGCCTATCTGGAAAGTAATATAATACACTGTAGACTTCTTGCCTATACAAGTAGTAATGTATTATACTGTAGAATTATAGCCTGTCCAGGTAGTATTGTCATACACTGTAGACCTCTAACCTATCCAGGTAGTAGTAATGTAATACACTGTAAACTTCTAGTCTTTTTGGGTAGTAATGTATTACACTGAAGACCACTTGCCTATCCGGGTAGTAATGTCATACACTGTAGACTTCTAGCCTATCTGGATAGTTATGTAATACACTGTAGACTTCTAGCCTACCCAGGTAGTAAAATAATATACAGTAGACTTCTAGCCTGACTAGGTAGTAATGTTATACACTGTAGACTTCTAGCCCATCCGGGGCGGTCGGGTAGCCTAGTGGTTAAAGCGTTCGCTCGTCACGCCGAAGACCCGGGTACAATGTGTGAAGCCCATTTCTGGTGTCCCCCGCCGTGATATTACTGGAATATTGCTAAAAGCGGCGTAAAACCAAACTCCCTCCCTCTAGCCCATCCAGGTAGTAATGTAAGACACTATAGACTTCTAGCCTATGCATGTAGTGATGTAATACTCTGTAGACTTCTAGCCTATCTGGATAGTAATGCAATACACTGTAGACTTCTAGCCTATCCAGACAGGAATGTAATGCACTGTAGACTTCTAGCCTATCCAGGTAGCAATGTAAGACACTATAGACTTCTAACCTATCCGGGTAGTAATGTAATAATTTGTAAAATTCTAGCCTATCCGGGGAGTATTGTAATACACTGTAGACTTCCAGGCTATAAATGATAGTAATGTTATATACTGTAGACCTCTAACCTATCCAGGTAGTAATGTAATATACTGTAGACTTATAACTTGTCCAGGTATTAATGTAATATACTGAAGACTTCTAGTGTATCCAAGATGTAATGTAACATACTGTAGACTTCAAACCTATCCAGGTAGTAATGTAATATACTGTTGACTTTATAGCCTATCAAGGTAGTAATGTAATATACTGTAGAATTCTAGCCACCAGGTAGTAATGTAATATGCTGTAGACTTCTAGCCTGTCCAGGAAGTAATGTAAAACACTCTAGACTTCCAGACTATCCAGGTAGTAATGTAATACTCTGTAAACTTCTAGCCTATCCAGGTAGTAATGTAATATACTGTGGGAGTCTAGCCTATCCAGACACTAATTTAATATACTGTAGACTTCTTACCTGTCCAGGAAGTAATGTAATACACTCTAGACTTCTAGACTATCCAGCTAGTAATGTAATACTCTATAGACATCTAACCTATCCACGAATTTATGTAATATTCTATAGACTTCTATCCTATCAAGGTAGTAATATAATACACTGTAGCCATCTAGCCTATCAAGGTAGTAATGTAATATACTGTAGACTTCTAGCCTATCTAGGTAGTAATGTAATACACTGTAGACATCTAACCTATCCACGTATTTATGTAATATTCTATAGACTTCTATCCTATCAAGGTAGTAATATAATATACTGTAGCCATCTAGCCTATCAAGGTAGTAATGTAATATACTGTAGACTTCTAGCCTATCCAGCTAGTAATGTAATACACTGTAGACATCTAACCTATCCACGTATTTATGTAATATTCTATAGACTTCTATCCTATCAAGGTAGTAATATAATACACTGTAGCCATCTAGCCTATCCAGGTAGTAATGTAATACACTCTAGACTTCAAGACTATCAAGGTAGTAATGTAATACTCTAAACGTCTAGCCTATCAAGGTAGTAATGTAATATACTGTGGAAGTCTAGCCTATCCAGACACTAATTTAATATACTGTAGACTTCTTACCTGTCCAGGAAGTAATGTAATACACTCTAGACTTCTAGACTATCCAGTATTTGACTTGGACGCCGAGCTGAACGGACGTGATTTTTGTAGCTCCTCCAGACAAGGGTTATGTAATGACATAAGCCCACAAGGGTGAAACAGTATGATGCATACTACAGCCTTGTGAGAGAGAGGACGATAATAATTGTGAATTACTGGAGATTCGTGATGCATTACCCTGAGATATTTGGACTATTTTGTGATTGACCACTGGACATCTCAATGTAAGGTAAAACAATCCTTCTTTATACCTTTATATTGACAATGAGTCAAAGTGCTCAAGCGTACTCAACACAACTGCCAGATGAACTGGACTACAATATATTGAAGCAGCTTGAAGAGATACTTGGCGAAAATGATAGAAAGACTTGTGAGCAGAAATTGGTTGACGCCTATGATAATGATGATACAGGGCTCAATCATATCAGACAATCTGTCTATGATGTAGCTAAAGCAGAGTGTGGATACTTTCCAGAGGGCATTTTGATTAAGAGAGTCAATAGAAGTGGTCAAACTAAAAGCGTAGCAGAAAAATATGCTTCTGATGTGTATCTGTTTATTAAGTTTATTAAAGGTGCTATTCCAGCTCATGTGATTCAGACGGATGTTTTAAGTAGACCAAAGCAAGCCTGTATGAAGCCTACTACTGATGTAGCTATGGAAAAGGACAAGGACATATTGTCAAGTGTATTGGCGAAACTAATGTTCTTGCATGAAGATGTGAACAAGAAGTTTGACAGTGTGCGCAGACAACTGGATCAATTTCAAGACAAATATGACAGAGATATGTTACAGTTAATCAGTGCATATGATGAAAAGAGCGAGGAAGTGAAGAGGTGTACGGTTGTGATTCAGACACTTCGTTCAAATGAAAAGTCAATGAAGAC